CCATTTTGCATGATCTACTTTTGTGCATAACTTCCTTAATGTTAAACAGTTCCATGGAATTTTAGGAAAAGTTCCGCATTCTTTTTTGTAGGAGGCATCTTGTACCCTAAAAACAATAAAAACTTGAATAAAATCCAATGTAAAAGTAGCAGAAAATGAATAGAACAAAGTAACAAGGCTTATGTCACTGAGCTGCTACATCAAATCAACTTGATGTGTCTTGGAAATGAATTTTTAAAAAACGATGTGGACATTTGTAAACAAAGCTCCTCAACCAATGACAGCCTGTGAAATGTGTCAAGCGTCTGCACACTTTGCCAACATGGGCCATACTGTAGCTAATTAAAAACACTGCATTTGGTTTTATTTTAAATTGACGTTTCACACTATTTTACTTAACTTTTCATTCTTTAAACAATGGATACTAGTTTAGGGTGTGTTACTTGCTCATCAGAAGCTTTTGCCTTGGGTTAATGTGTTTGTTTTTGCTCTTTAAAGTAGCTTATACTGAATTTCTTTGCCTCGTAGAGTCCTTTTGAGCAGCTTCGTCAGCAGATGAATGACGTCTTGGGAGACGGAGGGATCCTGAAGCAGGTGGTCCTCCCTGGAGAGGGTCCACCAGTGCCTCAAAATTCTTCAGTATTGAGTACGTATATGTAACCTCAAAAACTTGATTTGATTCTTCCCTAAAGTAAGAATTTCTTAAACAATTGTTGGGGCTTAAGCATGTTGTTGTTGTTTTTTCCATCTGCAGTGTATTACTCCGGTTTCCTGGAATATTCTGACCAGGCTTTTGACTCCACCACTCACCTCAAATACCCTCCGATGATGAAGCTGGGGAGAGGTAAGGAAGTGTTGATTTAAGCTGCRCAGTAGTTCTGATCTTCAGCCCAACTGGAGGACTGATTTGTAAAACGTGATAATTTATACAGACGTGACAGTGGCTGGATTGGAGCTGGGGCTGTTGACCATGAAGAAAGGAGAGTTCTCTCGTTTCCTCTTCCAGCCCCAGTATGCATACGGAGACATGGGCTGCCCGCCTTTCATCCCTGGTGCCGCCACGGTTCTGTACGAGGTTCACGTCCTGGACTACCTTGACTCTGCACAAGTGGATGATGTTACTGCAATGAGCCCGGTAGGAAAGCTAAAATATATATTTTTTGTTTAGTTTTGTTTTTTCCATGAGATAGGCAAATACAGTGGTTTGCA